TTTTATAGTAATAATGTGGGAAAAATATATTTTATCTATATAAAAATATATTTTAAAATATAGTTGGTAAAAAAACGTATTTTAAACATGTGTTAAATAGTTTAAAATGTGTTTAATCGATGTTTTTAATATGTCTTAAATATATTTTTAACATGTTTTAAACATGTTTTTAACATGTATTAAACATGTGTTTTTTTTATAATACTGTTAAAGCATATTTGAAACATTAAAGATATGTTTAAAAAGGAACACAATATTTTATTCTTAAAAAAAAACATTAATTTTTGCTAACTCTGTTTAAAAGTACAAGGCGATAACAAAGTAAATGACTATTTTTATTCTTTAATATCACAATGAATAATAATCATAAAACTGTTAAGAAGATTAAATATTTTATTAATATAAAAATAAAAATAGTTTTGTGGCAGAATAAATCAAATATAAGTAAAATATTAATATGAGTTTCTGCTTTTGGTTGATGCACAAATAATATATTCATAAGATGATAATAATATATTCATAAGATGAATTCGCAAACACAATTAGAATGCACTTGTCAATAAAGTGAACTGTATATGTAATTACAGTTAACTTTATTGATAAATTCCAATAGTGTCTTATAAATAATATTATTTATTTGCACCAATAATAGCGGAGATTCGTATTGGCATTCCACTTAATACGATCTATTTGTTTTGTAAGTAGCGTGTTCAACAAATAGCGCTAATAAGACAAGCTGTTCGTCTGATTTGAGTGCATCAGTTTATTGCTCAACTTGTACATTCACTGTTATTATCAGTAAAGCAAAATGCAGAACGTAGTCGTAATATTTCATTAATTTATTATATTTTCATCATAATATTTTGTTTATAACTAAAAAGAGAAAATTCTTTGTATGATAAAACCAATATGGTTACTATAAATATTCTAAGAGTAAACACACATCGATTGTAACGTCTTTTGCTATTTTAGACTATTGATTTTAATTCACCTGCTAAAACACATTATGAGGCTAAATAAATTAAGTAGATAAGTCAATTGTTCAATAAAATAGTTCTTTGTATATTCTTAAGTGCACTGTATACGGCAAAAATTATAAGAAATATTATAAATATAATAAAATTCTGTTCTAAATTTGGTCATGAATTATAGATCGTCCAAAGTGAACTTTACATATTCAATAAACATGTCAATATGTTAATAATTTTACAACTCTCTTAGAAAAGGAACAATGGACCAACTTATTTTCTGTAATATTTTTTTTATAAAAAAAAAAGCAAAATATACAGGCCATATTACAACTTTTTTTTTTAATTTTCTGCACATGTAAATATTTAAAAATATATTTTTTTTATATTCAGAAATGATTTCTCTTTTGACTCTAATAAATTTTCAATTTTGGATTCAGCAAAAAAATTGAAAAAATCGCCAAGTCTAGGTAAGTCATATAGGAATATGAATAGAGTAGAGATACTTTATATTTGAATGTTTCATACTCATTATATTATAAATTATTAAATACAAAAATATCAATTTAATGTTCAATCGTAATTTCTCCTTCAATCTATTTATTCTCGACAAACATTTAGTTACATCGGGCAAAATTTTAATCACAGATAAAATCGGATTTTCTTATTTAAAGCGATCGGGGCAATAATTGCGTATCATTTAATTCTGGCAATTTATTTCGCGCGTCAGGATTGCTCATCCTTTTCCGATTTATATACGCGAGTAAAAGTGAATGAGGACAGATAGGTGCATGTCCAGGTATTCTTATGTCCTTGATAAGATATCCGTGAACCTAACCGCAAGCATGTGTTCACTATGGATAGCAATGGTAACCGGTAACGGGTAACCGATGCGAACTGCGAACCGCATTCCTACGCTAAATATTACCAGCAACGTGAGCGCGGATTCCACCGCGCGAGGACACGTGCTTCTAATCTGACTTCCTGTTAAAACGTCAGCTCGGCCTCGGTTCCGTTTCTCCAACGGATAATTCTTCGCTCGCGGCAGCTCCGATGTCTCGCGATAAGTTACGTGTTCGCGATCAAAACGATAAACCGACACGAGAAATTCTACCTGCTCGATACGTTCATAAGCTTGTATTTCACGTGTTTGGATTTAACTTGGGTTCCTTGAAACTTTAAATATATATAACTTCTCAATTAATAAAAAACATAACAGAATAAATTGATTGCCCTATTTTTCAAAGGTTTTAGCCCCGCCTGATCGCAGCTTTCGGATTGTGTTACGCGCATCTTTCCCGATCACCTGCCCTCCTTTAATCCTCCCTCATCACCCATTGAGAGATTGCTCGGACAATTATAGCGCTTTGTGGTTATCCACGACATCGAGGGAGATCTTCCCTCTCTCTCTCTCTCTCTCTCTATTATCGATCGATACGTTGCAATATCGCTTCGATAACTGGTTATCTCCCTTTGAGCCTTCAATCACTTAGCTCACCTCCCGTTATCCACCCAACGTCCCAACATCCCAATGCTGGAGATGTTCGGCCGCATCGTATGTGTTTACAATTGTGTTCTGTGAAGATCCGCTCGATCGAATATTCACGAACGAGAGATCCAATCGTTCCTTAACTGTCATATCCGTTTATGCTCTTCATCGGTGCAAATAATCGCGATATAGTCACGCGCGTGATCCGTCAAAGGTACAACTTTACGATCCGTTTAGTTCTCTGACTCAGTAGCTATCCTGTGTAATCCAATAACGTATCGTTTCATACCAAGAAATGGAGATAAATAGATAAATCATTATTTATTGTACTTTCTGGGATGAAATCTTTTTTTTTAAATGCTAATATACATTATAATTATACAATATTTTTTATAATAAGCAATAGTGTTCCTAGAGAATTCAAATAAAAAAAAAAAAATATATATATATATATATATAGTATACAAAAATAAAAATTTTAAAAAAATTAAAGAAAAAAATGAAATAATACAGAGATATAATAATAAATAAAAATAATGAAATAAAATCAAACGAGATTAGAGAAAAAAAAGAGATGTACGATATTATATAAATATAATCATGAGAAATTCAATTCATGCAAATAAATATTTTAAATTAGAATTATTTTAGGTTGGAGATTTTCTAGAAGACACTTGTGTGATTTGGTATTATTTATGCATAATTCTTTACACGATATTAACAGTGTTATCTTTCTACGTTCCATTTTCACATCTAAAAAGATATTTCATCAATCTTGCAATAAAACTTTCTTTTAATTTTTTTTATAGCAACTTTTACTATATAACATTTTTTTATATTATTCGATTGTTTTTACATTATTCGATTATTATTGTATTTTCGATTTTAACATTTCTAAAAATTCTTTTTAAAGATTCATCTCGACTCTGTTTAGTTGACGATCATCAACCTCATGAGTTCGAACCGATACTGATTTTACACGCGTGCGACGGGGACCAGTCTGGTCTGGATAACGACATAAACCGAGACATAAACTATCTCTGCCCAGTTGCTTGGCTTCTTTCTCATTCTCCCTCAATCACCCTTTCTTCTTTCCTTCTTCTCTTCCTCTCTCTCTCTCTCTCTCTCTCTCTCTCTCTTTCTCTCTTTTTCTCTACGATCTCCTGGCAAGGCTCTCACTGGTCCGACAGTGATGGAGCTCGTAAGTATTCGACTTGGTGGATGTTAAGACGATAGCGGTGTTGCGCGACGTAACGCGCACATTTGAACCCGTTTCTTACGTCATTAAATATATTACAACGTTTAAGATAATATCGCCGCGTGGTATGCTCGCACTGAAATACCAAGACCACAGGACAGGAGAGAGGGATTATTTGCATTTCGTTTTGGACAGCGATAATTATACCAAGCAAAGTGGTACCCCCGGCTTGATTATTCGATATAAAATACAATGTCGCGCCGCGGTGGTTATCGAAATAAGTATCACGCACACGTCGTTGAGATAATATATCGGCAGAGATACCGCATGTACGCGAATTAACGTTGATATCGCATGAGACAAAAAAGAGTCGTTTTAATTTCGTCGATCGCGCCGACCGGCCCGGCCGTTGCGTTCCTTTGATTCCTTCCCCAATCACGGGGGAAAATACTCTCGCCCTTCGAGTTTCTCCGTTCGCGTCATTCTGTCGAATCCCTTATCTGCACACGAATTAAGATGTTTGAAAGTTTATAAAATCTCAGACTTGCACTTTTCGCACGAAATGTACCCATTAAACCCCTGATTAATAAAATATATTATCGACACTAGCGTGCGCAAACGCAAATAATTTATTATTTATGTTCAAGTAATCAGGTAAATACTTTTTATTTTTAAAAGATTGATTCGGATATATTTTAATATGTTAAATTTATTTTTTTATTTTAAGTGTAACAGCAGAAAATTATAATGTACACGCGTATCCATCAATAAAATTAATTTTTGTTTTCATTTTGTACTATTATAATAATATATAATGTAGTAATTAATATGTAATTATATAAGATTGTACTATTATTTATATATTATGTAATAATCTAAAAAAGCAAATAGAGTTTACATAGTAATAAGAAAGTTACTTTGAGATGTTTTCAGAATTTTCAAACACCTTCTGAAGAATTCTTATGAAAAATTTAATCAATATATACAGATATAATCGTCATTGAATATGGCAGTCGAGATGACACGATAAAAAATCGAGAATCTACTACATTAATTCTTAAATATTTCTGGAAAGCTAATCTAACGCGACAGTTCACTACGTTTATTGATGATATCGCCGTAGACGCGCGTCGGGCGTAACAGGTACGATTAACGTGTCGTACACGCTTCAAGTGGCAGCTGCACGCGAGGAACGTCCGTCCGACACGCGCGCGAGTGCGTGCAGAGTGCGTGTACATTGCGTGGAAGAAAGAGATCCGCACGTCTGATGAACAAAGAAAGACATACCGAACTGGATTGCAGGCGCGAGCGAGAGAAAATAATAGCTGTTTGTGCGAGGGCTTACCTGCTTGGAGTGATATCCTTTCGCCGTTTTACAAGCGCAGAGTATTCGGGAATCCGCGAACGATCTCCAACATTCGGAATTTTTTCCCCGAAGTTTACCTGAAAAAATATACATAATTACATTTTACTGTTTTTGGAGATACATTTCTACAGACTGTGTATAATACATGTCTCTATATATGCAAGATAATTGGAAACAAAATCTGATTGAACGATTGAACTGCTCACCCAGTTCTTAATTTGTCGTGAGAAAATGGAAATATTCAGGGAATGATATATAAAAGTTTATAAAATATTGTAAATCGAATAACTACAATAAATTATCATGCTGTAAACAATGTAGAAATATACATTGCTTGTACAATATATAAAATAATACCAGATTTTTTTCGTGTATAAAACAGAGAAGTTAGGAGAATGAAAGTCGTTAGTAAGTTCCATTTGTCCATCAAGTTGACTTGTTGAAGAATATATTTCTTCTAGAAACCTTTAATGAGAGTCAAACTCTTCATTGGAGATTTATGAGAAACAAAATGAAACTCAGCAGTATAACGATCGTGTCGAATTGAATAAATGATTCAAAGATCGTTTTTGTTCTTTGATTAGGTATCGGAAATAGAGAAGTATATTTTAATGCACGTGTTATCTCAATTATATACTTGTTGCGTTTGCCTATTCTATAATTTTTTATTTTATCTTATTTTTAGGAATTATTAATTTTCGAAGATGTTCTTATATAGTTCTTATGTAATTTTTATTTTAATAAATTTCGAAAAATTATATCCGTACAAATACAATAATAAAATGTTCAAAAATTTATAAGTATAAATTGTGTGAAAAACGAGTAAATTATATATGATAATTATAGATGTTTATAAGATGACAAAAAAATGGTTGCAAAGTTTTGAATGTTTATAAAATAATTACTCAGATACTAAGCTTACATATTTGTCACCAAAATTACATTAAAGATATCATTTTAAATTATAAATAATATCCATTTGTTAACTGGGTAATAATATATACAAAAAAATCGAAATTCTGTTAATTACATCTTATTAAATATCAAAAAGACTTGCACCAAAAGAATTTCAACGATTGGAGCGGTAAAGACCGCTCTATTGATTATTTGATAGAATTTATTCATGAAAAAGATGGGCGACCATTATTGATGCATCATTAAAACGCCTTACAACTTATATGAAAGCTAAAGATGGTCATTTTGAATATTTTTTATATTTAATATAAGATTAATAAAAAGGTACTTTATAATTAACGTTCCAGAGTTTGTATTTTCGAGTTACTAATGATTTAATAAACATAAAACTTTGTGAGTAAATTTTTGTCACCCTGTATACTGATCATGTATGGCATTAAAACTTCTTGCGACTTAATTTGGTAGCAAACGTTATTTCTGAGATGCACACGAAATGTGTTAAAAATAAGAGAAGATAAAAGGAACACGTCGTGAAAAGGATTATTGGTTTTCGTCGTGACCAAGCGAGAAATCATTAAGGATTTTAATCAAACGCTTGTGCCGAAGGAGGAACATCTTCGTCCGCTACTAGGAAAGTTCTGGGCCATAAAAGGATATTTGTCGCTTTATATGGTTGAATCAGCTACCAAATGCATCGCGCGCGAGTTGTCCGTAGAAAAACAAAAGGAGTTCGTCCGAGCGCGGCTCTCTCGCGACTCTCTCACGCAGAGGTTCGCTCTGATGCGATGCGATCGCTCGAAATAATATCGGATCTCAAACAACGTCGAAACTGATTTCGACGAATTTAATTTCTTTGATGCTAACAGGGAAAAAAAAATATATATATATATATATTATACGCATTTTTTATTTAATTTTATCATATTTTATTTATAAGATAGTATAAGCTATTATTTTAATAATAATATGTATAGCTTTCCTTGCGTAGGGCAAATATTAATAAAACATTTGTGGAAAGTGTTTTTCAGAAAAATATAAAATATTTTTTGCTATATGTAGGGTATTCGATTTAATTCGTCCATGTTGATATCTCAAAAATGACTAAAGTTAAACGAAAAATTAAAACAATCCTTTATTGAGATTACTTTGAGATGACTTTTTATGATAGAACTTTTTTATGATAGAACAGTACTCATTTCCTACAAAATTTTAAAGAAGGCAGGGGTATAAATTAGATTTCTTAAATAAAAATTCCCGATAAAATTCGATAAATTCCGAGAGGATGAGATAAATGCCTATGACATTAACACTCTATCTTGGTTATTACTGTAATGAATTTTGGAAAATTATTTAGAAGCAGTACCGCGCGATTTCTTTGATCAATCTGTCCACGTCGATATCTCGGGAATTGTTAAAAATTAAACAAAAATTAAATAGGATTAAAATTTTTAGTGTGATGAAACCGTACTCATCATAAAATTCGCCTACCCTTTTCTCCATGAAAATTTCACAAGACATAAGTATACGGTTCCATCATACTAAAAATCTCAAAGTAATTCTTTTGAAGGAGCATTTTTAATAAAGAAAAGAGATTTATTGATAAGCATTTTTTATTTTTGTCTAACTTTAATAATTTTTGAAATATCAACGTGGAGATTAAATTATCATATCATTAAATATAACAAAATAATCATTATTAAATCATTATTAAATGTTTTCTTCTTTGTAAGTAATTATTTTCTTTTAATAAGTAATATATGTATATTGTAATATATATTGTCTTTTATACTCTTCACTTTCATTTTTTTCACTTTCTTTGCTAAAATATGATAAACGTGAGTACACTCCAACGAATATATTAACGAAGCGTTTAAGCATTCTGTCACTTCTCAATCTTCTCCAAGTTGCTTTAGCAGTTAGTTTCCTCGCGGATTCGTCTCCATCGGTTTATCCTAATCGTGTTTCGTAAGTATTTGTGGGATCCACGAAGAAGATTCGAATGCGTGGCATGGCAAGCGTGAAACATTTGACGCGCACGTGAAACTTTCTGTCGTACCTTTTTCACAACAAGAGGAAACTCCGTCGAAAAGCGGTTGCTTGGGCGAGAACTCCTTAGCAGCTTGTCGGTTTTACACGCTTCGCGTACTTTGGCGAAGACGGCGGAATATGCGTCGCCGCGTGGAATCAGGAAATTGAATTTGCGAACTTCCACTTTCGAAAGCGTCGCGACGCAACGCGTCGCCAGTCGCTCGTTCGATTGTGCCTCACGATTTGTCACGGTCGAGTCCTCAACGGAGATTTCGCCAAAGAAAATGTCTCTAATCTTTAAAATTTTGCAAGAAGCAGAAAAACTACAATGTAACGGTATCGATCTTAAAAACGATTAATTTGAATGTGAATTCAGTTTTAAACAATTATTAAACTCTTTCAATTATTTAACTTCTTTTCTTATGTATACCAGTTTGTTTTTAATTTTATATAAGTAAAATTAAAAAGAAATTAAAATAATAAGAACTAATTTTATACATCAATATCATTTATGGTCTAGAATAATAATTCAAACGATAAATTATAAAATTAAGATCATTCTATTAAAACAGAACTTAAGAATATTATAAAAGAATTAAATCCTTGTCCTAAATAAAAGTTCGTTTTATAACGTATTTCTTATTAAATAATAATTAAAATTTGAAAAGTATTTAAGTATTATTATAGTATCACAAAAATATACAATTTGAAAAATTAATAGAGAGAAAATATTAAAGATATAAAAAGAAATAATATATATTTAATAAAGGGAGACTTTGTACTTTTCTTTTAGAAAAATGTTACTTTAAACCTCACGTCTGCAGAGAAATAAGCACAGATTCAGCAGTCATTTATACTGGTGTACCTGCTCCAGTGACACTCGACCGAATTACGTCGTAATATTTCACTCGGTGCGTCGTAATGGACGACGCTCGCGACGCGGTTGCAAACTCGGATAGAAGAGCTAAAGACGGATGTATGGTAATTTATTAACCTTATCGTCGGCGGTAGACATCGCTGGGATTTTTCATAGTTTCGGACGAAAGGAACAACGCCGCACACGCGAATGACGTTAAAACGTCGTCTCTACGGAGGTTTCTTTCGCGCCGCAAATTACGAGATCGCAGCCGCCGCAGTCACCCCCGGGATTTCAATTTATTTCACCGAGTCGTAGGAAAGTCGTATCCTCGCGCGGTCGCGGTTCCCATTGTCGGATTCGTGTGAAATCCCCCGGAACGTCGATACCGCGTCGCGCGGAAAATCCACCGACTGCAGTCAATCCTATCACGGAGGTCGGTGGTGGAGGCCAATCGTTGCTTCTTCATGCCGTATAGATCGCGTTTTAGGGGATCGAAGGTTGAACGCGTCGCGAATAGATAAACGCGCGTTCGCGGAAAGACTGTGGATTTCATCGGTGATACTCAGGAAGGCATGGAGACGAGACGCCATACGGAGGGAAAACTGCCGGAGGTGAAATCGGCGCCGTGATTCTATTCTTCTGTTCGTGACACATAGAAGAATCACTCTGAGAAATAATCGTCTCAAAGTCTCGAAAGAGAAAACCGAAAATGCATTTAATTTCGCGGGAAAAAAGGATTTCCTCGCTAAATTTACCTACCGGCGTTGGTTGGCATACAAATGCATCATTTTAGAAAAGATTTCATCTCAAAAATGGTCAAAAGAGTGTCCATTTTTATAATTATATTGACCATGTTTTGTCGAAGATTTATGTGGTTTTTAAAAACAAAGGGACGTGTAATTAAATGTAATTAACAAAATTAGTGTAATCTACATATAACTGTGTAGCACAAACATTTGGTCGCATAATATTATAAGAATGTTAAGAATTTTTAACAGGTGAGATAATTTACAAATATTACTGTGCTTCATGCGTATTAATTATATAGGTACTTAATTAATTATACAGGTGCTTTCTCTCTCCCCCTCTCCTCTCTCTTCGTTTGTTTGTCTGCTTTTTCTCCCTCAGAATTCCCACGAGAAGCTATAAATCTATTAGTATAAGCCAATAAAGCGATATCGCATATAACGGAAGTGTGAGAATGACGGAAAGAGAGCGAAAAAAAGGCAAGAAGAAATACGACTGACAATATTGCAAGTCGATGAAGTCGAATAA